GGCGCGGGGCCAGGCGCGGGCGCGCGCTGGGCTCCCCTCCTTCCGCCTCCCGCCCCTCCGCGACACCCCGCCCTCGCCCGCCCTTCCTCTTCCTCCTTTCGCTTTCGCGCGCCCCGCGGCCGCCCGCGCCTGTGAGAAGCGTCCGCGCGCGTGCCTCTGCCCCGCGGCCGCGGCTCGGCAGCATTGGCTCCGGGGGGCGGGGACCGGTGGGGGGCGGGGCGCCACGCCGCCGTCCAAAGTACCGGCGCGCGGTCTGGGACGGGCCGGGGCGCGGCCTCGCAGAAGGCTCGGCCAATCGTAGCGCCGCCCAGACCCCCGGAGCCAATGGTGCGGCGGTGGGCGTGGCAGCGTTCAAGGTGAGCTGCGCGGTGCGCCGGGGGCGTGGTCCTTGCGGCCGGCCCGGGGGCGGGGCCGCGGTGGCGTCGAAAGCGAGCGCCGCGGGCTGCCGCGCCGGACTCCTTCCGGCCGCGCTGCCCCTCCCCCGGCGTGCTGTCCCCTCCGCTCGGCTCCGGCTCCTCACTTCCCGCTCCCAGCTTCCCGCTCTTCAGCCGTGCACGTCCCGGGCGGCGCCAGGCCTGCTCTTGGCCCTGGTCCCGGCCCGTCTCCCGTCCCCGGCCCTCAGGCCCTCGTCCCCGACCCGGCCACACCTGCTCGCCCTTCCTGCTTCCGGGCCCACGCCGGCCGCACCTCCGGAGGCGCTCCCGCCGCCGCCGCCGCCCTCGGAGCACGTGCGCGCGCGGGTCTGTCGGGAGGAGGCCCGCTCAACCCGATGAAGCCTGGACGGCGCCGCGCTGTGACAGCCCTGCTCCCTCGCGCTCTGAGGCCGTCGTTCGCTTAGTCCCGAGCAACACCGATGGAGGCAGTTTTCTTAAGTAGTTAACAGGGTAGCCGGGCTTGGTGGCACACGCCTGTAATCCCAGCACTGGAGCAGGAGACGGCTGCGAGTTGGAGGCCAGCTTGGACTGTGTAGCCAAACCCTGTGTCAAGAAAGATCAGGAGGCAGGTTTAAATCTAACAGAAATAAGTTTGAGCCTGAGTTTCCAGTTAATAGTGGGCACCAGGACAGTGCGAAGCAGTCTGAACATAAATCCGAAAGGGAGATCTTTTCCGATTGGAGCAAGGGCTTGGCAAACCTGATCTGTTAGGCTTGGCATTGTGGTGCACACCTGTAATCTCTGCACTCGCTCGGGAGGCTGAAGCAGGTGGATCACTGAGTTCAAGGTTAGCTTGGGCTACGTAGGGAGACCCTGTCGGAAAAAAAAAAAAAAATCAAAACCACCTTTCCCGTTCCTCTGAACGCACTCCAGGCCCTGGGTTTCAGACGTGAGGTGTGACAGCGGTGGTTCCTCGGAGAGCCCAGGGTCTCCTGCAGCAGGAGGAGGCACGTGGAGGCAGTTGGTGGATGGCATGATCAGAAACAAGGCAGGCTGGAGCAGGCGTGGTGGTGCGAGCCTGTAATCCCAGCTCTTCTGGCACTCCCGAGGCAGAGGCAAGAGGATCAGTGCGAGTTCGAGACCAACCTGGGCTACAAAGAAAGCTGAAGGCTAGCCTGAACTGCGTAGAGAGACCGTCTCAGAAAGAAAAGGCAGTCTGGTTTGGCGGCCCACAGCCCTCCTCCCGACAAGCCTCAGCCAACCTGGATGATCTAGTGGCTCTGTGAAAAGGGCTGGGGCTGGAGCTCACTTTGAAGGCCCCGAGGCCAGTCCTCAGAAGTACAGAAAATAAATATGTACAAATACAAGAGAGAGGGGCTCAGGTGCTCAGGGCCCTGCAGCATAGGCCTCAGGAGCTGGTGGGCTCCGCCTGGGTGGGACCCAGGAGTGGTGAGGATGCAAGCGAGTGGCCTTGGCTGCCAGGTGATTGTGTGATGAGGTCTGAAGGCCTGGGCCCAGTACTCACAGTTTAGTGGGTGCCCCTATTGTTTGGGGACTGGGGAGGGCTAAAGGAGAGGCAGTAAGTTTCTGTTGTTTGAGCTGCAGCAGGTAAAGGAGGTGGAGGCAGCAGTGTTTACATTCAGGAAATGCACGTTGGAATTGAAAATGTCCCCCCTAGTCACTGACTTCCTACGTGGATTCACGTGAGGCCATAACTAGGTGTCATGGGGGGCGTTGCAGCCTAGCCCGTGGAGCAGGTCATGGGGTGACCTGGGGACAGATTTGCTCTGGGCCTTCCTCTCGGGCTCTGGATCTCTCTGTTTTCTAGCTGCGGGGAGGTTAGGGCTTTGCGTCCTGATCTCGCTGCCTTGCTTCAGAGCCCGCCAACCATGGGCTGAAACCTCTGCAAACCAGCCTATACCTCAGCCGTCTTTCCTTCTTTATACTATTTACATCAGTGTGTCCTCACAGTGGCAAGAAGCTGACGAGCACGGTGGGGCAGTCTGTGGAGATCGAGGGTGGGTACAAGAGGGTGACCAGCCCAGTGTAGGACGGTGTGGTGGCCTGGGGTGGCTGCTGGGCTAGGACATGGCAGGGGTAGGCTGGATCATGAGCCTGCCGCTTGGCTTCTTTCCTGCTGCTTCCTTTCAAGACTCTCCCAGCAGGGGCTGCCCACGCAGCTCAGGTGTTTAAGCGCCTGCTGAAACAAGGCGATCAGTCTCAGGATGCTGTGGTTCGATCCCCTCATCCTCAAGCCAGTCCAGACCTGCTCTGAAGGCATCCTGAGCCACCCAAAAAAAAAAAAAAAAAAGCTTCCCAGCAGCACTACCCATGTGCCTAACTTCCCCGTAATACTACAGGGGTGAGGGGTAAGGGGGCACAGTAAGTCCCTGTAACATGAAGTCCAGAAAACACGCTAGGCTCCCCATTTCCGTGAACCCTTTGCAGCCCCTCTCGAGGCCGTCGTCCCGCAGCATCTCTCCAGAGGCCTGGACCTTTCCTCTAGCGCTTGGCCTGTGCTGCCCTGGTGTTCCCACAGATGAGCAGTGCTGGCGCCAGCCGAGACTGGGTCACAGCAACAAGCAAGAGAGACCTGATCTCTGCGGTGGTAGCAGCCCAGCAAAGCCTGACATGGAGATGGCATCCAGGCTGCCGGAGAAAGCCAGGGCCCTTGGTCAGGAAGTGACCTTCCCAGAGAGCCTGTGCTGAGGAGGCTGAGGGCAGAGGCAGCACGAGAGGCCCAAGGGCTCATGGGGCCTGGGCTGGGGACGGTTGGCACGGCTAGTCAGGCCCAAGGGCATCCGGCTCTGGCTAGTGGCTGCCCTGAGTGAGGCACTTGTTCAGTGCTTGCCCCAGAGTGCCACGTTGTGTGTAAGCAGGTGAAGCATCTCAAGAGGCAGAGAGGATGGGCTGGAGAGATGGCTCGGTGGTCTAGAGCACCTACTTAGAACAAGCTTAGCAAAGCACAGGGACCGCGGTTCAATCCCCAGCACCACATGCCAGCCCGCCCCGCCCCCTGGTGGGCTGAGCTGGCCACACACACACACTCACTCTTTCTCTCTCTCTGTCTCTCTGTGTCTCTGTCTCTCTCTCTCTCTCTCTCTCTCTCTCTCTCTCTCTCTCTCTCTCTCTCATATTAAAAAAAAAAAAAAAAAAGGCAGAGAGGAACTGAGCAAACCCTCTGGGAGCAAGGGAGGCGGCAGCTGGAAAGGCCGAGCAGTGGGGAGCTAGCTAAGGGAGCGTGCTGGGGACAGACAGTGGGCAGGAGGCACTTGAGTTTAGGGAGGGGAGGTGACAGAGAGGCAGGGGCCCGGCCTCGGCAGGCCAAGGAAAGAGGATGTTTGTTTCCTTGTTTTTTAAATTTTATTTACTTTTTGAAGATTGGGATTGAACTCAGGCCCTTGTGGTTGCCAGGCAAGCGCTTATTCTACTGAGCTATCTCCCCAGCCCCCGAGAGGAAGTTTCAAATAAAGAAGTTACCAGCTTGCTTATGTCTTGTGGGTTTTGGGATGCACTCTCGCGGTGTTGCCCAGACCGGTCTGAGGTTCCTAGGTGTGAGTACTCGGCGCTTCTGCCTCAGCCGCCTGAGCAGGACTACAGTTACTTGACATGTCTGGCTTCAGATGTGTTTTTCAGACTTCACAGCAGCACAAGCTTGTCACCCCAGCCTGGAGAAGGCCAAGGCAGGAGGATCTCCGTGAGTTCACAGCCAGCCTGGGCTGCTTCACAAAATTTGTCTCAAAAATCCAATAAAAGAAAAGAATAAGCCTCAGCCAGTGTGTCCAGCTGACTAGGGGAAGGGCCCAAACAGAGTGGGAGGGTGGTTTTGGGAGGACCTGACCCGCCTGGGCACAGCAGCCCTGGAGAAGTCGGCAGATCTGGGGGCAGGCTGGGGCTGGGCGTTCGGTGAGATGGGTAAACATGGAGACAAAGCCAAAAGTCCAGGCTGAGTCCTGATGCTGGACCACTGACTTCATGGCTGCCGGGGCCCCAGGTGCTCAGGTGTACCCGGTGGTAATGGCCCCACACACGGAACAGTACTGTCTGGGGCTGCTGCCTGTCCTATGACAGAGCACCACAGGCCTAGGCTGGCCTCAAACTCAGCAATCCTCCTGCCTCAGCCTCCTGAGTACTGGGATTATGGGTGGGCCTGTGTTAGCACTTGGCTCTGTTTATACTGATGATAACAGATACTACACTTGATCTTAGCCAAAAGGCTAAGAAGTGACTGTTCCATTTATTAAGTTTCTTTTGTGCTCAGTTTTGGTTCTGGAGGATGGAAAGGCCAGAGGGGTTGCCTGCTCTGGGTGAGCTCCCCAGGCCAGGAGGAAATCAGTGAACATAGCCATCACTTCAGGGCCCACTCCCATGGTGCTGCTTTAATCCATTGCTCCTAATCTCAGGTCTGGTTTCAGGGTCCAAAGGACCGGGGATGTCCCCATGGCAGTAATGTTTCTACACAACTCTGGAGGGAGCAGTCACACCACTGTATAGTCTCCTTGGACACCACTTTTCAGAGTGGGTGAGTGTGGTGACAAGTAGATGCTCAGTGTACCGATGTGAACATGTAGGATGGAAGGAGGAGTTAGGTGGCACATGCCTGCCATCCCAGCACCAAGGGAGGCTGAGGCAAAAAAATTGCCACAAGGCCAGCCTAGGCTACACAGACCCTGTCTCAAAGCAAAGTAGGGGGGAAAAAAATTGGGACTGAAGATGTAGCTCAGGGCAAAGGCCACCCCCCCATTAAGAGGAGGTGGTGGTTGACACCAACAAGACAGACTCCTAAGGCAGGACAGTGTCCCCTGGATGTGCTAATTCCTTGTCCGGAAGGCACAGAACAGGGATGGTGAGGTAGGTCTGAGCAGGGCTCTGCGTTGAGGCCTCTAGTCAGGCAAAACCAGGTGGGGGCCGGCAACAAGATAGCTCAGTGGACTAAGCACCTGCTTCGGCAAGCACGGACTGGGGTTCAATCCCAGGCACCAAATGCCACTCTAGGCCTGCCCATGGGCAGGCTGAGCCGGCCATGGGGGCGGGGCATGGTGGCACACACCTGTGATCCCAGCGCGGGGGATGCTCACTGCAGGTCTCAGCTGCATAGTGAGACACTGCAAATACGTGAAAAGACGAAGTAAGAACCGCGTGGGAGGTTGCGGTTAGGTCGGCAGTGTCCTCTCTGCCGCAGGAGCTACAATCACGCTCCAGACCCAGCTGCGTCTGTGGCGCGGGCGGCTCAGGGTCCTGTGCAGTCTGGGACAGGCCGGCCAGTCCCCAGGTGAGCCTGCAGCCCAAGGCAGTGTGCCACTCCCCAGGCTTTTGGGATGGGGAATCTCCAAATCGCCCAAGCTGGCTTTTTTTTCTTATGAGAATATATTTATTGAGAGAAGGAAAGCTCCATGGGGCCGGGGAGATGGCTCAGTGGAATAAGCGCTTCCCTGGCAAGCGCAAGGGCCTGAGTTCAATCCCCGGTTCCACCAAAAAAAACAAAAAAAAAAAAGCAAGCTCCTGTCCAAGAGAGGGACAGGAGGGGGGCCGGAGCAGGTAGTCCCCCCCAAGCTGGCTTTCGATTTGTGTTGGCGTGTGGTACCAGGTATCCAACCTGGGGCCTCGCGCCTGCTAGGCAGGCACTCATGCAGCTGAGCTTCATCTCTGGCCCCTGGCCTTGAACTTTGGGTCCTCCTGCCTCAGTCTCCCGTCTCTCAGCATGCACCAATGTACCCGGCATAGGTCTGTGTCAAACCTGTTGGTCACCCTTGCCACCCATCTTCCTTTAGCCAGTGACAAGACAGCATTCAAATCTTCATTTTTTACTTTATTGTACAAAAAAAGGGGAAACAAAACGTCCACAGTCGGCCATTAGCTTAGGCAGACACCAGGCCACTCCCTCCCACCTCCCATGGTACAAATTCAAGGTGGCTGTTGTTGAAACCTACAAAACACGCCTTAAGTATTAGAAAAAAAGGGGCGGGGGTCCCCCGCATCTGGCCCCACCCAGTGCCAAAACGCACTCAGTGCGGCCTCTTACAGCACCAGTCCCTGTGCCCCCGACCCTGCCCGCACAATAAGAATGAGTAAGTTTTTGAAACAGGAAAAAAAAAAAGTATCCTGTTCAAAGTTGCTGGAAATGCAATAATCCACTAAAACGTAATAGTGCAGAGCTTTCAAATATGGAATAATTCCTTGCTGGGCTCCTGGGAAAGGAAACTATAAACCCTGTGCCCAATTCCATGTCTGGACAGTGGAAGGGGGTGGACATGGGGGGCCTACCCCGGTCCCCACCCCACACCAGAGTCTGGGCCCCATTGCTTGATTCCCCCCCCTCCTGGGGCTGGGAAAACAAGGTCCCCCTAAGTAGAGGATGGGCATGATTTAAAAAAAAAAAAAGTATCCAGGGAGGAGCGGGCTTGGCATATGAAAAGTTGCGGAATCTGGACACCAAGGACATGGGGCAGCCAGCCAGTCTGGGGTCAGCTGGCGGGAGCCCCCTGATGTGGGGCTGGGGTAGGGAAGAGTAGGCACAGACCTGAGAAATGAAACAGGGCAGCCAGGAGAGTGGGCCAGGCAGGAATGTGCGCCATCGTGACCGGCTTCCCACAGCCCCCCCGACCCCTGGAGGCCCAAGGAGCAGCTCTCTGTTCACTGGCTTTCACCCTTGTCACCTTGCTGCTGGCTGGCAAGGACCTGCAAGAGCTGCGGCGCGTGACCCTGGCGGACAGGACGTAGATGAGGGCCTTGGAGCCAGAGAACAGCGCAGGAGGGTGCTGGAAGGGCAGCTGTGGCCCGCCGGCCCCGGCCCAAGTCCTGGCTGTCACCAACCTTCTGCTCACAGGCCACCGCAGGGGGCTCCAGGAGAGACTGGTGTGCACGCGCGGCCACAGGTGCACCCACACTATGTACAGGACACACGCACTCACACTCTCTCACGCACACGAGGACTGTTTAAAAAAGTCCCCATCCTATACCCTAAGCCCTCCCTCTCCCAGAAATGACAACAGAGACGGCAGCCGAGATCGGTAGGAAACGTCTCGTTGACAGCTCAGAGCTTAAAAAAAAAAATATATACACATATATAAAAAACACTTCTGCCCCTCCCCAGGTGGGCCTGGGCGGTGCCCGCCTCCGTGGGGGCGGGCAGGACAGCGGCAGCGCCCGGCCGCCCTCCCCCGGCTCCCGCCTCAGTTCCAGCGCGTGGGCCGCAGCCCCTCCAGGCCAGCTCCTCCAGGCCGCCCGCCGCCTCCAGGGGCTGCAGGTGCGGGCTCCTGGCCGAGTCCCCAGCCCGCCCGGGGCACTGTCCGGCCGAACCGCAAGCGCAGGCGGGTGGTGGCCGGCGCCCCCTGCTGGCTCAGCGCGGCGGCCGCGGTCCCTGGGGGGCGTGCAGGTTCCTACAGCCCCTACCCCCACCATGTTTTGTTTAAAAAAGAAAAAAGAAAAGAAAGTGGGGGAGGCCAGAGCAGGGGGCCAAACACGGTCGAGGCGAAGGCAGGCGGCTGGGGTACAGGCTCGCGGCCACCCCGGCCGGGCCTCAGTTGGAGTCCGAGTCTGAAGAGTCCCCCGAGGACGAGGAGCTGGAGCTGCTGCCCTCGGACTCGTTGTCTTCATCTTCGTCATCGTCGTCGTCGTCGTCCTCGTCCTCGTCGTCGTCCTCGTTCTGGGCACAGAAGGGCCTGCGGTCACCGGGCTGCCCTGTGCCCCCCGTCCCACCTCCTGTGTGTGCCCCGTGCCCGACCCTGCTCCCACCTCGTCCCCGTCCTCGCTCTCATCCTCGCTGCTGGACTCAGAGGAGTCGCCACCATCCTCCGAGGAGTCACCGTTCTCATCGTCGTCCTCCTCCTCATCCTCCTCATCCTCCTCCTCGTCGTCCTCGTCCTCATCCTCCGACTCCTGGGGGATCAGGACCGTCGGCTGGCAGTCAGCAGGGGCCTGTCCCACTTGTGCCCACTGGCCTGCCCGCCTGCCCGCCCAGCTGGAGGGGCTCCCTACCGACTTGGACTGCAAGGTGGTCCGGCTGGACTTGGGGTTTGGGCCCCGTAGCTTGGTCATGCTCTTGCGCTTCTGTGGAAGGGGAACACAGGGCCCGTGAGGCCTGGCCACGCTGCCACACCCGCCCATGTCCAGCCCCACTCACATTAGAGATGTATTCCTTGTAGGCTGCTCGGTCCTGGGGAGAGAGGTTCTGTGGAGACAGAGGAGACAGGGTCGGGCACCCTCCACACAGCCCTGCCGTGTCCCTCCTGAGCCCTCTACTCTGGGTTTCTGCAGAATCCTCCTCCAAGCCCCCTAGTGAGGACCGCTGCTGCCCAGGAGAGCTCATGACTGGGGTCACCCCAGGAGACTTGGGAGCCTAAGGTTTGGACCCTACTAAGCTTGGACACTTGGTCACCTATGTGGGGGTTGGGGGGCAGGGAAAGGGGACACAGGTGCTTCTACCCACTTCACAGGCCAGGCCCACAGAGGACACCCGGAGCTTAGGAGCTGCCAGATGCAGGAGCATGGCATCCTGATTAAGGAGTTTCTCCACTTATTGTGCTTTTGCTTCTTTTACTTTTGCTTTGAAGAACTCGGCATCTTGCTAAATTGGTTAAGGCGCCCAAACAGAGAGCATTTGACAGTCCTGCCTCGGCCTGCTGGCACTGGGGCCAGACACGCCTCTCCAGCACCAGGTGGAGCTGCAGGACAGCCGGGGGCACGCACCTTGACCCAGAGGTCCAGGTGCACCTTGTACTGCTTCTGCTGCTCTTCTGCCAGCTTCTTGTAGTGCTCCTTTTGGCTCTGGGAGATGCGCTGCCAGCGGCTGCCGATCTCCACCATGCGCTCTTTCAGGGGCAGGTGGTTCAGCTCCCCGTTGGACAGCAGCTCCTGGGAGAACTTCTGGTACCCGTTCCTGGGGGGATGCGGGAGAGGTCAGGACCCAGCCCAAGAGCGCCCCTCCGCGGGGTGCACCCGCCCGCCCAGGCTCACATAGGGGGCTTCTTGGGCTCCCCCTGGAACTTCATCTTCTTCGAAGAGTTGGCCGTGGCTGGGGGTGCTCGCATCTCACTCAGCTCTCTCTGCAGGGAGACCAGGAAGATCACCCCATCACCCCCTGCTGTCACCCCCACCCTAAGTCAGAAGGCGGCCCAGCTTGACTATTTTATGGGTGCAACACTGCCTCACCAGGGCCTTGCAAACCCAGCTCGGCCGCAGCAGCCACCCCAGAGGCTGTTCTTGCAGCCCCCACCTCGTAGCGCTTCTGATCCTCTGCAGCCTTCTTGATCCACATCAGCTTCTCCTTTTTCTCCATGTTGTTCCAGGTCATCTCCATGGCCTTGAGGGCCTTCACCCGGTCATTCTGGGGGCACAGCAAGGCTCACAGAGGGCCCCACGCGGCTGGAGCCCCGCGTCCCCTCCGCGTCGCCCGCCACTGACCTTGAAGCGCGCCAGGTAGTCGCCGATGACGCTCTGCTGCCAGATCTCCTCGGCCCGCTTGGGCGACTCGGGCAGCTTGCCCCGCTCCTCGCGCTCGGCGCCCGGCTTCCTCTCCGACTGCGCCTTCAGGGCAGCCTCGCGGGCCTTGTACTTGGCCTGCCAGGGACCGCAGACGGGACAGCTAGGGCGCGCCGCCCGCGGACTCCAGGGGGCGCTAGCCAGCCCGGCGGCGGCGCCAGCCCCCCCCCAGTTCCCGCCTTCCAGCCCTGACCTTCTTCTTCTCCGACAGGTCGTTCCACATGCGAGCCAGCAGGCGGGTCAGCTCGCTCTCCGACAGCTCCGGCCGCTCCTCCTGCAGCTGCCGCCGCTTCTCCTCAGAGAAGATGAACATGGCCGACACGGGCCGCTTGGGCTTCTCGGCGCCGGCCTGAGGGCAGAGGGCGTGGGTCGCGGGGGTCGGGGGTCGGAGGTCCGGGGCGCCCACGCCTCCCGGCCCCGCGCCCGCACCTTGCCGCCCTCTGGCGCTGGCTTCTTGGCGGCCGGGCTGCCGGCCTGCTTCTTGCTGATGTTCAGCATCTTCTCCTCGCCCAGCACCCGCTGCTGCTCCTCCTCCGGCAGGCTCTGCACGGGCCAGGAGGGGATGCGGTGGGCGCGGCTGGCGCACGGCCTCCCGCTCTGCCCGCCCGCCCGCCCCCGGCACCCAGGGCACCCACGCACCTCCAGGAAGCGCAGCAGCTCCACCTCATAATCTTTCTTCTTCTGCAAAGCAAGGGGTCAGGGTCAGGTGCGGCCAGGCCGCTGAGTGTCACCCTGCCGGTCCGGCGTGGGGGGGGGTCCGCGCACCTGGTCGCACTTCTTGTGGTAGGCGTCCTTCTCCTTCTGGGACAGCAGCTTCCACTGCTGGCTGCACAGCACCATGCGCTCCGTGCTGGGCACGTCCTTCATGTTGGCCATCAGCTCAGCGCAGTACAGCGAGTAGCTGTTCCTGTGGGGCCGGGAGGGCACCGTGAGGCTGGGCAGGCCTCCTGCTGCCCACCCGCCTGCCCAGGGCGGCGCTCACGGAGGTGGCTTGGTGGGTCGCCCGTCAAACTTGTCCTTGAGCTGGCGCTCCGCCTTGGTGAGGGTAGACTTGGTGATGCCCTCCTCGCTGATGTTCAGCTCTGGGTGCTTCTGGATGTAGTCACGCATGATCTCCTGCAGAGCGGGTGGGCGCAGGAGCGCAATGGGGTGGGGTTAGCTGGGCCAGGGAGCACGGGGGAGCCGCTGGGGAGGGGGGCCGGAGCAAAGCCGGGGGTGTCCGTGTGTCTGCCGCGCCGTGCCACACGGTGCCCTGCCCTGCCCTAGCCTGAGATCTCCTGGGGATGGTGGGGGTCGGTAGGGGCAGAGGAGAGGGGCCACGAGGCCCCTCCCTCAACGGGGTCTGGGGAGCGATGAGTCCGGGCAGAGGCTCGTGAAGAGCCGGGCGGGGAGGAGTGCAGCGGAAGCCTAACCTCGTACTCCTTCCGCTGCTCCAGGGCCTTATGAATCCATTTCAGCCTCTTTTTGTCCGAGAGCTGAGACCACTGCTTCCCCAGGGAGTCCTTCACCTCCTTCGTAGTGGCCTGCAAACCAAAAGCCGTCAGACACACGCAAGCAGCCAGGGCAGGGGGAGGGGGGTGGGGGCGCGAGGCCCCGCCCCCTCGGGCCACGGGAGGTCACGGCGGTGTCCCCCACAGGCCAGGAGGGCAAGGCGGAGAGGCAGGCGTCCGCCTAGTGCAGGGAGGGTCACACACGCACGCACACTCGCTCGCACGCGCTGGCCCAGGCCCTGTCCATGCAGCCCACCCCTGGGGAGGGGCCTCCTCTCCTGCTCCCCTGACCCAGCCCGGCGACCCGGCGCGGCTCCCCCCGCCCCCCATTGTGCACCTGCACCCCACCCAACAGCCAGACACTCACATCTGGCCGTACTTTAAGGTACACCTTCTTCTCGTGAGTGTACCACAGCTGCTGGGGGGTTTTGGGCTTCTCGGGGATGTCCGACTTCTTTGCATTCTGGATAAGGTCGGGGTGGTCCTCCCTGGCCAGTGCACGGGGGCAAGGGTCATTGGGGACACCGTTAGGCAGGCCCTAGCATTCACCCACCCATCAAGCCTTCTAGGCCTTGGGCTTAGTGAGACAGTGGCCACCCGTCTTCCTTGCCTGAGCACAACTGGGCCTTCATGTGACCTGCCCACGCCACCCAAAGGGTCAGTTCTAAGCCCTGGCCAGTGTCCACCTGCTCTGCCACACCCAGGTCCCATGGCTACTAGTGGCCTCCAACCCTTACCTGAAACGGGCCAGGTTTCTTTCGAACTCTTGTTTTTCCCTCTGGAAGTCCTGAATATACTTCATCTGGGGGAGGAGGGGACGGGGTCACCCAGGACCCAATTGGGCCTCACCCAGAAACCGCACCCTCCTGCCACCTCGGACCTGTGCCTCTGACAGGCCAGGCTCACCAGACACTGGGCCTGGCAGCTCACAACCAGATGGCCGAGCTAGGCAGTCTCCAGACACTGCTCAAGTGCAGTGTCTCAAGAGGGAGCCAAAAAAGTGGCTGACACTGTGCCACTCACAGCTGCTTGATGGGCACCTGGGCCTCCCAAAAGTCTAATGGGGACTGTTCCTGCCACACCTGCTGCCCACTGTCCACTTACAGTGTCCTCAGGGCCTAGGACAGCAGGTCCTGTTCCCCAGGTACCAGGGGAGTTTGTGTTGAGAACCAGGAGGGTTCTTACACGTGACCCATACCAACAGATTTGCTTGCCAAACTTGTGGTTCCCCACCCACTAGCTCTAGGTCTTGTTGGTGCCACACACCTCTCCCTCATCACTACCACCTTGCTTCTCCTGTTCTCCCAGGGTCACCAACATGGCCCTGGAGGGGCCAGGGGCTCATGGTGACCAAGTGTGGCTTCTACCCTAGTCAGCCCTCCTCAGATCCAAGAGCAGTTTTTGAGCTGGATGACACCCAGACCTGCCTGGCTCACTCGACCCAAAGTTAACTCACTAAGGGCCCCAAAGGACTGGTGGCAGTGTTGGGGTAGCCCCTCGTCTACCTGAACACGCTTCTCTGTCCTGCCCCAGCTCTCAGGCCCTCTGGGGCTCTGCCCACCTTCCCCCTCCTGCCCTGAGTGCTGTGCTGTGCCGTGTGCAGCCACATGTGCATGCAGCCCGTGATTCACGCTCCTGCTGGCCTGGGCGGTGGCTATGGAGGGCTGCTTTTACCCAACCACACAGGACTCATGTAGGGCCCGGCACCAAGGGCAGACAAGCCTGCAGCCACCATAAGTGGCCAGCAAAAGGTGCTCAGGGTGGTGGCCAGTACCACTTGAGTACTGGCCCTGTGCAGCTGTGTTCTCCCCACCTGTGTCTTTGTCTCTGGTGGGCGTCACCAGCTGCTCTTCCTGGCTCCCCCGGCTCCCCCACACCACCCTTCTCTCTGAGCTCCTGGCCCCTTGGAGGAGCTTCCCGGATTCTGTGGCGAGCTTCTACAAGGGATTCCTGACTTCTCCCCAAAGCTGCAGGGTCAAGCACAGGGCCAGGAAGCCCCGGAACACATGGACATGGAACAAGCAGAGCCCTGGGCAGTGGGTCTAGGCACCAGGTCCAGATCCTCTAATACTGCTGGATGTACAAGTTGAGTCCCAGGCCCTCCCCCCCAGTTTTTTGCATTTTTCTGGGGTGACCTGCATGAGGGTCTTACATATGTCCAGCAAGACCGAGAGAGCAGGTATGGTTCAGGGAAAGGAAGTGTGTCGAAGAGCAAGGCGGATTTAGGCAGAGTGGGTACAGTGGTGGGCAGCATGTGTGCAGGGCCAGGCTGAGCCTGCCCAACCCGCACTGCCAGGAATGGGATCTGTGTGCGGCCACAGGCGACCAGGTGTGCTTGCCCAGGCCCCACGCTGCAGCGCTGCTGCCCCCGCCCTCCCGCCCACCCCACCGGCACCGCCACCAGCTCCGCGCTCCAGCCTGGCCCGCCCCGCCCTCCCCCACCTTCTTCTTCTCCGGAAGCTCCTTGTATTTCTTCGACAGGATCTTGGTCAGGTCCAGGTTGCTCATCTCGGGGTGGAGTTTTGCATACTTGGCCCGCTTCTCCATGAAGAAGCGGAAGTAGGGGGTGAGAGGCTTCTTTGGGAAGTCAGGGTGTTTCTGAAGGGGGGAAAGGGAGGTCAGGCACCACCCGTTCCGTGGCCACGCCTCCTTGGCTGGGTGGCACCCCCATAACTCACCTTGAGCTTTTTGCCTTTGTAAGGGTTTTTAACGTGTTCCTGAGCATCAAGGATCAATTCTGTCAATGTTCGGAACTTCCTCACCTGATGGAGACAGGGGATGGTGGGAGCAGCACTCTACACCACGGCCCCTTCCCACAGTCTCCCCCAACTCTCTGCCCAGTGGGGTGCCTTCCAGGACAGCCAAGGCCAAGGCCAGTGGTCCCCAAAGTGGGCCCAGGCCCTCGCCTGCTGCAGATGTCAAGGACATCTACAGTAATCCTATGACCTACATGCCACCTCAGTACTCCTCAGCAACCCACCAAGCTCAGGTGACAGAAGCCCCAAAACTGAGTTTCCAAGGCCACCAGGCAAATGGGCACCAAGCTGAAGGCGGTGGCTCAAGTCAGGCAGGGGCAATAGCCAGCATGTAAACGGCACCCCGGCGTTCGTCCCCCTTCCTGTTCATAGTTGGCCCTGCCACATGCAGCTCAGCACCCCCAGGCCAGAGAGGGGATCCCTCACCTCATTCGAAATCTCCACCCACTTGAGCTTGCACATGTCGCCAGAAAAGTCTTTAAATGCGACCTTTTCCCAGTCCATGTGTGACTCGGTGGTCTTGAACTTGGAGCTATCGTTAGAGGGAAGGTTGTTCTTCATGCACTCCAGCAGGGTCAGCATGTCTTCCTGGGACCAGCGGTCTGGCAAGGTGTCAAAGAGGATGTCACGTGCAGCTCACACCCTTCCTGGGCATCCATCCATCCCTTGGTCCCTGAGTATTTAGCCCTCCTCTCCAGGGACACTTCCCACCTGAGCCCCTACATCCTCCTAGGCCTAGGCACAGTCAGCCCTAAGAAAACTGCAGCCACGTGGGGTTGGGGCAGAGATGCTAAGCTGGAAAGGTAGGCTGGAAGTCAGGTCTGGCTCACTTCAAAACTAGATGGGCCATGCACACTGTGTGGCCTGCCAACAGGGGAAAGAGGACGCAGATGGATCCCTGGTGGGTGGGGAGGTGAACCAGAGCAAAAACACAGCCCAACTTGTGGCTAAATCCAAGTCCTAGGAGATGACCCGGGTCCACAGGGACTGGGGCTGGGCATGAGCAGCACAGCAACCCCCAGAAGTCTCCCTGGCACACCTGAAAGTGTGTCATCCCCAGCCCCTCAGGCAAACCAAAAAGAATTCCAGGCAGCTTGGGAGAACCTGGAGGGGCAGCTCTTTGGCTGGGCTTGTACATGCCCGTTCAGGGGAGAAGGCCCAGGGCGCTCAGAAAGGGGATGCAGCCAGCTCTTTCCAGCCCCTCAGATGCAGCCCAGAGCGCTCAGGCCTCTTGCATGGTAGTGGTGGGGGATGCCAAGGGACTGGCCACATGTGGCCAGGAATCAAAAAGCTGTAGTTTCCACGGCATTTGGTAACCTGTGCAAGGCTCCTGCACCGCGGGTCACACAGACCCGTAGTAATCTCTCTTCACTGTCCCATACACTGTGCCAGATGCTGGCATGTTTCTGCCACCCCAATGCTAAGATTTCCCCGTAAAAATAGATCAGAACGTGCATGCCACTGGGACCAAATGCCCTCACGGCCACCTCTGCTCCTAAAAGACCAAGGCCTTATCCTCCAACAACCACGAACACCCCAGAAGCCTGTCCCATCTCTGCCCTCCCAGCACTGGGAGCACCTGGGGACCCACTCTGAAGGTCTGCTGTCCCAGAAGGAAGGCTTGCTCCACCTTGGGACACGAGGAGGGCACAGGCACAGGGGACAGGCTTGGGCCGGTATGGACCAGCCAAGCCGTGGTGTATGTGGTGCTTCCAGCTCACTGACCCCAGAACCGGCACAGGCAGAGGCGCCCTACCTTGGCCTTTGGGGGCGGCCATTTCCAGGTCTGTGGGGCAGTCGGCTTCTCCGTTCATCCTCCAGCTGTCCAGCCACCTCGGTCGCACTGGCTGGGCAACCCGGGGTCAAAGCCACCTTTAGAAAATACACGGGCCCCACTGAGGTGGACCCAGAGTCGGAACTTTCTACCCACCCCCTCCCACAGGGGGAGGGGGCGTGGGGTGCGCCCCAGTCCAGATGTAGCAGGACCCGCACACTTCTCGCGTTGGGGCGAGGGTGAGCGACCCCCTCCCTGCCTGCCCCCAGCCCTGCTCCGCAGCTCGCGCCCAGCTCTGCCCACGCGCGCGCGTTCCAGCCCCGCGTGCCGCGAGCGCCGCCCTCCTTCCCCCACCCGGCCGAAAGAAACCCGATTCTGCTCCTCCCGCTCGGAGCGCCCGCCCCGGGGAGGCCCCGGCCGCAGGCGGGAGGAGGAAGGGCGGGTAAAGGGCGCGCGCGGCCACGGCGACGGGCGGGCGCGCGCCCCAGTCTCCTCCTCCTGCTCCCCCCGCCGGTTCCCCCGCCTCCGCAGCCCGGCGGGGACCCGGACGCC